AACAGTTTGGAAACCTATTTGAATCTTATAGGTTACTTCAGATACAGGAATGCGGAAAATCCCTTGTGCCCTTAACAAGAAGAATAATTCCACTTTATGGCAGTTGATCAATCAGGGTGGGATTTACCACAGGTGGGGGTTGTTTGTTAAAAAAACACTCAAGCGGGTGGGGTGGGGTTAACTGTACTTTACCAGAAAATGAGTTTCTGATAACTGGTCCTTTCACCTGGGGCCTTATTTTTTGCCAGTGACTTCAATGAAGCTTCCACTTCCTCTTTCATTCTCATTGGCTCCTGTTTATATGGTTGTTGTTGTTATGTGCTGTCAAGTCACCTGTGACTCATAGTGGCCCTATGTACAACAACCCTAAAACCTGCACTATCTTGTGTCAATCTTATCATCTCTGACACACCTAACCCCATTACCCTAGTCACTGAATCAGTCCATCTCATTGAGGGTCTTCCTCTCCTGCACTGTCCCTCCACGTTCCCAAGCATGACATCCCTCTCCAAGAATGGATCCCTCTTCGCAACATGTCCTAAGTATGTCAGACTAAGCCTAAGAATCCTTGCCTCCAAGAAACAGCCTGATCTCACCCTTTCCAGGATGAACCTGTTTGTTGTCCTAGCAGTCCATGGTATATTCAATACTCTTCAGTTTTCCTTCTGTTGTCCCTAGTTACTGTCCAGGTTTCTGATGCATAGTAAGTAATCGCAAAGACTATGGCCTGGCTCAGGTGTACCTTAGTCTCCAGACTGACATCATTGCTCTTTAGTACTTTGGAGAGGTTTCTGACAGCAGACTTTCCCAGTGCAATTTATCTGGTATTTCCTGAAATTTTTCAATAAGTTCTTTCTTGGATCCGTAATTAACACCTTTGGTACCATTAGTCAGGAAATAAGGAGATGCTTTGCACTGGGGAATCTGCAACTAGGAACCTCTCTAAATTATGTCAAGAAGAGTAATGACTTCCGTTTGAGGACTAAGGTGCATCTGATTCAGGCCATAGTCTTTCTGGTCACTTGCCATATGCATCTGAGAGGTGGACAATGAATAAGGAAAACAGAAAAAGCACTAATGCCTTTGAGCTGTGATGTTGGAGAAAGCACTGAACATCCCATGGATGGCCAAAAGAACAAACAGATATGTCTTGGAGAGGGTGCAGCTGGAGTGCTCTTTGGAGGCAGGAATGATGAGGCTTCTCCTCACATGTTTTGGACATGTTGCTAGGAGTGGCGATTCCTTGGAGAGGAATATGATGCTAGGAATGGTGGAGGGTCCTCAGAGGAGAGGAAGACCCTTGACCAGGTGAATTGACTGCAGCTATGGGTCTCGTGTGTCAGGAAGTATGTGAAAATGGCACAGGAGAGAACAAGTCTCAAATCTTTTGTTTATAGGGTTGCCACCTAACAACAATAACAACAATCTGAGCTAATTGAGTTCTTCTTATATTTGTTTTTATAGTTCTTTATCTTACTGAATAGCTCTGGGGCAGACAAACTCTAGCCCTTCTTGTGTCCAGCCACGCTTAGAGAACTAGATAAGGGTCAAGCAGATGATGGTTTCTCTTTATGCATTTTATCAGTCTATGCACTTAACTTAAACATGTAGAGAAAGTTGTTTGTGTAAGGGTATAAATAGTTGATTACTTTCCTCACTTTTTTAGAGGTAAATTCTCCTATCTCTGGATCCTTGCAGTGCTACTCTCCCCTGTCAGCAAATTCCTATTCTAACTAAAAAAATGGCTTTTAGTCTGTCTCTAGTGTTTTGGACAGTGTTTTAGTCTCCATTGTCTGGACAATAACTAGGAATATCTAGGGTAAGTGTTTTGGTCTTTTTTTTGGAAGATGAACCTTGAGGTATTTCCTTTTGGGAAACAAACTTTAAAAAGATATAATCCCTATTGAAGGCTATAGACTTTGATCTTCTGCAGCAACTATTTAAAGTCTTCCTCACTTTCTGAAAACAATGTTTTGTTTTGTTATCTACATAATGCAGGTTATTGATGAGTCTTTCTCCAATTCTGGTGACATGATGCATCCTTCTTCATATAACCCCGGTTCTCAAATTATTTACTCAGCTTCCAGATTGAATAGGTAGGGAGATAGGGTACACCCCTGAAGTATAACTTCCCTAATTTTAAACTATTTAGTGTTTTCCTTGTTCTGTTCAGACAACAGCTTCTTATTCTAGGTATGGGTTTCACATGAACACAATTAAGTGTTCTAGGATTCCCATTCTTCTTGGTGTTACCCATATTTGTTGTGATCCACACAGTCAAATGCTATTGTGTCACCAATAGTGCACAGATAAACAGGAAACTCCTTCGGTATTCTCTGCATTAAGCCAAGATCCATCTTCCATTAGCATGATATCTATCCTTCATGCCATTGCTTCTGCTGAATCTAGCTTGAATTTGTAGCAGCTCTTTATACTGTTACAGCCATTTAAAAATAATCTTCAGCAAGATTTTACTTGCATGTGATATTAATGATATAATTTTATAATTTCCACATTCTTTTGGATAACCTTTTTGGGAGAATTTCCACATTCTGTTGTTTAAACTTTTTTGGGGAAATAGGAACAAACACGGCTCTCTTCAGTCAGTTGGTCAGGCAGTCTTCCAAAATTTCTTGACATAGTCTAGAAAGCATGTCTAGGGCTGCTTCTGTTTGTTGAAACTTGTCAATTGGTAGTCTATCAGTTGCTGAGGACTTATTTTTTTGCTAATGCATTCAGTGCAGCTTCAACTTCTGTATTACCACTGCTTTTGTGTTGTGTTTGTTTGTTTTTCTTGTTGTGTACCCGCGAATCAGTTTCAGACTAGCACAGGAGAAGATTGCCCCTCCTTCTCCAGAGGAGCAACTGGTGGATTTAAACTGTGCGCCTTCAGGATTGCAGCGTAGGTTCTTGCCACCAGGCCATCAGAGCTCCCTTTACCATTAGTTTTTGATCATGTTACATCCTGTTGTTGTCGTGTACTGTAGCGTCAGAACTGATTTATAGCTGATCCTCCAGCAGGTTTTAAGAGGCAAGTTAATCACAAAGGAGGAGATTGCCCATGTTATTCCTGTGGAGCAGCTGGTGAGTCAAACTGTGTACCTGTGGGGTGGTAGCGCAGCTTCTTACCGCTAGACAACCAGAGTTCCTTGTTATATCCTGGGGTTGAGAAATAAAGCATCGTGTGCCAATTTGTCCAGGATCACTCAAACATGAGACAGACTATTGACTTTAAAATATAGTCATGCAATTATACATGCTGAATAAGTAGCTACAAACTACATTACAAACTACAAACACATTAACAACTGAAACATCCAATAGGAAGACCAAAAGAAGACAGAGCCATAAACAGCACAGCATTGTTGTGACATCAAATGCCAGGAAGGCAGTAGAAGTAACAAAAGAACCAGCAGCACTAACCACACAGCTGAAAAGGTCTAATCACCTCGCTCCCCTCACCCAGGTAGTGGGCAGTGTTCTCCGCATCCTCACACCTGCCCCCCACACTCCTAGCTCCCCTGCCCACTCCACTCCACAACAGTTCTAACACAGCCTTCTGCATCTCTCTGGTGGTTCGAATCCGCTAACGTCTCCCCAGAAAGCTGGGCAGAAACCTAATAGAAGATCAGGTATGAGGTTACTCCGACTTGATCGCAATAAGTTTAAGGAGTTATTTCTATGTCTCTATTTCTTTTTCGTTTTGAGTAGTTCCTACTTTGACTGTATAAGCATGCTGGCCTTTTTCTTATCCCAGAGAGTAGCAATCTTCTCTAAATTTAGATATTTCCCTGTCTTGACTTTTTGTGGACTTACAATAAATCTCTTCTTTTTACAGACTGTGATTCTTCACTCTCGTACATTTCTTTGGGCTTCTCTGTTGTCACCTCTCTTGTGATAGTTGAGGTAAGTGACACAGGTGACCTAAAAAGACGGGGTGGGGTGATGTTAAAAATAAAGTAGGGCATGCAAAGAGCAACGGAGACAAATAACTGAGATGGGAAGGAATTGCACTGGCAATGGAAAGACACGCTGTCCAAATTCTCCAGTTGCTCCGCGGGAGAAAGATTTGCAGTCTTCTCTCTTGCGATTTACTGCCTCTGAAGACCCACTGGAGGGTCAGCTCTGGATCGGTCACGACGGTACACAACAATTTTTGGAAAAGGAGTTTTGGGAGACCAGAGAGAGGCAGAAAGTGTCATAACAGTCATAGGATTATAAAACAAAATGACAATGGCTTTCACGCTCTCCCCGTAAACACTTGCACCCCATTCTTTGACAGGCTGCAGATACTCAAGGGGAAATTAAACTAAAATAACAGCGCAACAGCTGCCCATGCCTGCAAACTGCGAGAGCTCCGCCCTTGGTGCAAATAGCTGGCCTGGGGGCGAAGGCGGGAAGAGGCGTAGCAGCAGCGAGCGGAACCCTAACTCGCTGTACTGAAGTTGCAACTCGGTGTCGAGCTTCTCATGGCGGTGAATTCCTACGCGCGTGCGCGGCGCCTCGGTTTCCGGAAGCTGCTCGAGGTTGTGGATTCCTTGCTAGTGAACTTGCGTCGGCTTCAGACGAAGCTGTAGTTGGTCTTCGAGGTGAATGAAACGTGGGAAGTGGGTCCGGAGCTGGCCAGAATCGCAGGATCAGAGATTCCACAAGCCATTGCTTAGAAGCAAGGGAGTGGAGGGGAAAAGCTGCCCGGGCCAGGCTCGGAGCACTGCCTGTAGCCTACCTTCATCCGGGCTGTATCGCCGGAGGAAACAGACTCACTGTGGAGTGAGTTCTGCTCATAGGGACCCTGCATCGGGTTTCCCAGACTGTAAATCGTAAGGGGAGGTGATTGTCCCATCTTTCTCCCGCAGAGCAACTGTCGGATTTGAACAGCGTTGTTTTGAGCGAAGCAGCTAGTGGATCCCAGACGCTGGAGAATTAAATCCGGATTAAACAGATTTCTCTGCAGATCTGGTCCTGGTAAACTGTGCCACTCCACACTTCAAAAAAAACAGATGAAGAAACTGAGGCTTAAGGAACTCGAGAGTCGCCTGCAACAGGTAGATGAGTTCGAAAAGCCCAAACTACTTTTAGAACAGTATCCGACCAGGCCACACATTGCAGGTAAGTTGTTTGGGGATCCCAGCTCTAGCTTCCTGTGTCAGCTCTGTGTACCCACTCATTCAGTTACCGTGGAGTGCAAACGCACTCCCTGCCTACTTACTAGATGATGAAGATGGAAGTTGTTTGGGTGCAAATGGCTGAAGAAGTTCTGTTTCCTAGATCATCTATAATATTAGACAAGCTTTTGACACTTCAGGTAAAGACAGCCGTACAGTTGTTTTCTACATACCTGTTTCTGAGATTTGTTAGTACCCCTGAAACTTCAAACTCCTTGAGAGCAAGGAATTTGTTGGTCATGTTCACAACCGAACTTCCAGTTTAAGGACCCAGAAAGGTCCTTGAATCTCTGGCTGTTAACCAAAAGGTTGTTAGTTGACGTCCACTCGGAAAGACCTGGGAAGGCTTGGTAATTACTTCTGGGGGGGGGGGGGGGGGGAAATCAGATATTGAAAACCTTCTGGGCACAAGTCTCCCTTAGGTAAATCCACATTAGATCCTAAGAGAAGGGACTGCCCATTTTTCTCTATCTTAGAATTTAAAACATAATCTGTATACAGCCAGGGGAAGATCCCAAAGCCACAGTGATAATTCTGTAGGGATTCTTAATTCATTGCTTTGACACACATTGAGTTTTTTAAGAATCTTCTGACCTAATCCAAGGGTTGAAGAGCAGGGAGGGCTTTCAAGAGAAGGAATATTTATTTTCACATGAAATAACTCCTTACAGTGAACAAATACACCAGGGTATTCACTGACAATTTAAAAATATCCAAAAATCTACTTTTATTTCTTTAAGTGATACTGTTTGTCACTGTGGCTTTGGAATCTGTCCTTGCTTGTATGCAGATGATTATTAATGTATGTGTAAGCAATCAGAGCTCTGGAGGCTTAGTGGAAAGAGGTGTGCTGCCAACCTGAAGGCATGTTGACTCCACCAACTTCACTGTAGGAGAAAGATAGGCAGTGTCCTCCTGCCTGGGGGCAATTTATTGCCCTGAAAACCTGCAGAGTGTCAATTATGAACCTATAAACAATGAATTAAGGAGCCCTGGGTGGTGTATGGGTAATGTTATCAATATAACCAGAAGCACAGCAGTTTGAAAATATCAGATGGCAAGGCAGTTTTCTCTCATGAAAATTTCAATCTCGTAAACCTGATGGAAGTTCCCTCAGATTCTCTTGTCAGTCAGAACCTACTCAATGGTAAGTGTGTATGGAACTAATAAAAGACCTTAAGAATGAGATATTTCTACAGGTGCTTGTGTTTCCAAGATTTCTGAGATTTAACATGTTTTAGAGCAATATGTAAAGCATGATTTCCTGAGCTCAAACATAATGGAACTGTGAGAGCCAGAACGTGGCTGAACTGCTTTGTGTTCCATACCTGACAAGTTTTCCTTGACAAAGTTTGATCTTGCCAATTCTCCATCACTCCTATTAATGGAAAGTATTTCAGTTTTCCTACTCTTGACAGTTTTCCATTTTGTATATGTACAGGTTTTTATAGTTCTGCTGTGTGAATAAGCCTGCGTGGAGCAATGGTTAAATACTTGGCTACTAAATAAAACAATCTTAGGGCTGTGTGATGTTTTTGGAGAGCCTTCTGGTGCTGGTGTAGGCTATAGCATGATGTGCAGCCTAACTGAAAACATCTTGTTATGTGCTGTCAAGTTGCCTACGACTCATGGTGACCCTATGTATAGCAGCTCTAAACTTTGCTCTGTCCTGTGCCAACCTTATTGTCTCCAACACACCTATCCCCATTACCCCAGTCAGTGCATCTTAAGTGGTTCAAAACCACCAGCAGCTCCCTGGGAGAAAGATGGGCAGCCTCGGAAACCCAACGGAGGCTCACTGTGAGTCAGAATGGTAGTGATTTTGGTTTTGATTTGGTTATAACTTATGGCGCTCATCTTCTAGCACCCTGCCAGACAGCATTCTGCTGTTAGAGATAATGGACTCATTTTCATCTTGGAGAAAGTGTAGCCAGGCTGCTAGGATGCTAGGGTGCTAGGTAAGGACAGTGACGCTTCGTCTTACATGCTTTGGGCATGTTGTTAGAAGGGTCAGTCCTTAGAAGAGTCATGTTTGAAAGATGGAGAGTCAGCGTAAGAGAGGAAGACCTTCAACAAGATGGATTGACACAGAGACTGTAACACTGGGCTCAAGCATATTAAAGATGATGAGGATAGGACAGGGCAGGGTTCAGATCTGTTGTTCATAGAGTTGCTCTGAGTCGTAGTTGACTCAGAAGAACATAACAGTTTTCAGATGTAGATTACTAGGTTTATTTTCTTAGTCTGTTTTAGTGTAGAAACTGCAGAAACCTGGCCATTGATGGTGACCCTGGTGGTATTTGAAATACCATGGCATAGCTGCCAACATTCTAGTAACATGTAGAACACCAAAATATGACAGATTTGACAGTATAGTACTCATGCTTAGCGTTCACTGTATACAAGACCCGTGTGTATTTGGAAAATTTCTGATTTCAGCAGTTTTGTTTTGTTCCTTAATAATAGTTCTTTTACCAAGTCAGACTCATTTGTAGATTATGAATATATATGTCTGTATATATGAACTCGGTCCTGATGACAAAATTGTTGCAAAAATTATTAGTGCTTTTTTTTTCTTTTAAAATTTCTTGTTGTGTACCATTGAATCAGATCTGACTGGCACAGGAGATTGCCCCTCCTCCAGCAGAGCATCTGGTGAATTCAAACCGTGTGCCTTCGGGATTGCAGTGCAGCAGCTTGCAATTAGGCCACCAGAGCCCCCTCTATCAGTGCTATTTTAATGTTAATGCTAGTTTGATGTTAGTGGTTCCTCTCAGATTTATGGACATTATGTTGTTGTTGTTTGCCACCCAGTCAGAACAGACCCATCACTGACCCTCCATTGGGCTTTCAAAGGCAGTAAATCACACAGGGTGGGAGTAGGAAGAGAAAGGGGAGATGAGGGACTGCCTGTCTTCCACCCAAAGAGCACCTGGTGATTTAGAACTCTGTGTCTTTGGGATTGCAGTGCAACTTTTTACCACTAGGGCCAGCAGAATTCATTGGTAAGTAAAATTTCACAGCCAATTTCAAGACTTATATAGGGTTGTCAAATTTATATTATGACTATAGTATTTTTTAAAACTAGTTTATTTTTACCACCCTTTCACATATAATAACAACAATAGTATTTTGATATCAAAGAAAGCAGTTATGTTGTAGTGGCAGTATTTTAAACAACCTTGGGGGGGGGGAACGTTTTACCCTTATTTTTCTCATTTTATCTCAGAATATTGTTGCTGGGTATACCTCATTTTTCAACCACTGAGGGAAGGGCAAAATAATTAAAACAAGATCAGAGCAATTAGGAATGGTCATTAATACAAGCTGGATTTTCTCACTTAAGGTTTTCCTGTCTTTTAGCATGTATGCTCTATACAATCCATAACACATACGATGACATTGAAAATAAAGTGGTTGCAGATCTAGGATGTGGTTGTGGAGTGCTTAGCATCGGAGCTGCAATGTTAGGAGCAGGGTAAGTGATCCAGTGTATGCTGTTGTTATTTGGGTATGGGGTGGCTTTAATAAGCATATGTAAGAACAACTGGATTATATTTATGCGCTTTAATGTATAATGCATAAGTACAACCAAGTGTTCTGGGATTCTCATTCTTCTCAGTTAGCCACAGTTTGTTGTGAACATCACAGTCGAATGCCTTTGCATAGTCCATGAAACATAGATAGAAATTCCTCTGGTATTCTCTGCTTTCAGCCAAGATCCATCTGACGTTAGCTATAATATCCCTAGTGTCACGGCCTCTTCTAAATCCAGCCTGCACTTCAGGCAGTTCTCTGTCAATGTGCTGTTCATCTTTGTTGGATAATCTTTCAGCACAATCTTGCTTGCATGTGATATCAATGATACTGGTCAATAATTTCCACACTCTGTCAGATCCTTGGAATGGGAACAAATAGAGATCTCTTACAGTCAGTAGGCTAGGTGGTTGTCCTCCAAATTTCTTGGCACAGCTTGGTGAGCACATCCAGGGCAGCACCTGTTTGTTGAAATGCCAAGAAGCAGTAGTCAGAACACAGCAAGAAAACACTGCATTGTTCAAAATTGGGGAAGGTGTGCATCAACGATGTGTCCTATCTCCATATCTTTTCAATCTATATCTGGAACAGATTATATGAGAGGCTGGGCTCTGTGAGGAGAAGTGTGGCATCAAGACTGAAGATAGACTCATCAACAGTCTTCGTTACGGAGTTGACACAACCCTGCTTGCAGAAATTGAAGAGGACCTGAAGTGCTTGCTGCAGAAGGTCAAGGATTGCAGCCTTCAATATGGATTGAAGCTCAACATCAAGAAAACAAAGATTTTCACCACTGGGCTGATTGGCAGCATCATGAAGGATGATGAAGAGCTTGAGATTATTGACAGCTTCAGTTTGCTTGGTTCTACAGTCAACACTCTTGGTACCAGTAGCCAGGAAATTAAAAGATGAATTGGATTGGCAAAGTCTGCTGTCAGATACCTCTCCAAAATACTGAAGAGCAGTGATGTCAGTCTGGAGACTAACATGCGCCTGATCCAGGCCATGTCTTTGCAGTTACTTGGTATGCATTAGAGAGCAGGACAATGACACGGATGATAGGAGGAGAGTTGATGCCTTTGTGCTTTGGTGTTGGAGAAGAATACTGAATATACCATGGACTGCTAGGAAAACACAAACAGGTTCATCCTGGAGAGGGTGAAGCCAAGCTGCTCTTTGGAGGCAAGGATTCTGAAGTTCCGTCTGACATACTTTGGACATGTTGCAAGGAGGGATCAGTCCTTGGAGAGGGATGTCGTGCTTGGGAGGGTAGACGGACAGCACAGGAGAGGAAGACCCTTGATGAAATGGATTGGTTCAGTCAGTGGGGTAATAGGGATAGGCGTGTCGGAGACAAGATTGGCAAAGGATAGAGCAGAGTTAAGGGCTGCTGTCACTATGAGTTGCAGGCAACTTGACAGCACATAACACCACCAACAACAACTGTATGAAGTTAGGGAGCCTTGGTGGAATAGAATGTGTCAGGCTTCTATTAAAAAAGTCAATGGTTTGAATTGACCGGCTGCTTCTTAGGAAGAAACATGAGCAGTCTCTTAATACTGTTTTTGAAACCCAACTTATGAAAGGTCACTATTAATTACAATTGACAGCAGTGGGCTTGGTTTGGAGCATGACACTGAAGAAGACACAATCTGATGTTGAGTATGTTTCTAAATGGACAGAAGAACTAATTACCCCTAAAATGCCCGGCAGCCTTTATACAAAATCCAAGTTCTCAGTCCCTTGCTTGGATAAGAAAGCTTGCTGCTGAAAACAATACTCATAGTTTGTCAACTGGGTTAAAAAGGCCTATGGTTCCCCACTAGTTTTGTTTTTCTTCAAACAAGAAACTTGGGAGGTATAACACTTTGTGTTTTGTATTTTTATAGGTTGTGTATTGGATTTGACATAGATGAAGATGCATTGGAAATATTTAACAGGAATGTAGAAGAGTTTGAGTTAACAAATGTTGACAAGGTTCAATGTGATGTTTGTTCATTATCTAACAAAATGACCAAGTCATTTGATACAGTAATTATGAACCCTCCCTTTGGGACCAAGAATAATAAAGG